ATAAATTAAAGCACATACTGTGCTCATAGGTAGGAAGAATTAACATCGTTAAAATGCCTATATTGCCCCCCCAAAAAACTATGTAGATTTAATGCCAATCAACAGTACTTAACCCCTTCTTCCTAGTGTGAGAAATAGTCATCACTGCTGGCAGGAAGGTATTCAATGCAAATCATTGGTTTCAGATGTGTTGAAAGGGTGCCCTTAGGAAAAAGGTCGTAGGCTCAGACAGCAGGAGGCGTCCGGACCCCTGGACGGAAGGAAGCCGGGAGCTCACACTTGCACGGATCTGCCGGACACCTCCCTCGGACTGTGCCACCACTCTGCCCCGGGCGGTGCCAACCAGGGAGACAGTTTCTTTCCTTCTCCCGTCTTCTCATGTCCCACCAGCGTCTTCCCAAACCCAGCAAGGAAGGGAGTTGGGGGGGTGCAGTTGGGATACGTTGGGGTTCAGACGAGCCGCCCCAAGATGTGACTATGCGGTAAGCAGATTATTTTCAGTTAAAAACAACCAAGCGTCTTTGGGCTCGTGAAAAACTTCTGCCTCTGCGCCCCCACCCCCACCCCCCCAATACCTAGGAGAACTTGAGTTAGAGGCAGGCCCGTAAAATGATCAGAGAGGCAACCTCTTCTGACCTGTCTGTAGGGCAAGGCTAGCTTCTGATGATGGACCGTCCGGGCTTGTCCACTCTCTGCAATCCCCTTCCTCTTCTGGGCCGCTCTGGGGTGCCCCTCGGCTCAGAATGGCATGGAGGCTCCCCCTTCCCTTTCTGTCTTTGACCTCTCATGTATGTGGACATGTGTACGTAGGTATTCAATTCCATTATTTTCTCACAGTTGTCTGTCACATGCCTATTTGATTATGAGGCTGAAGTGAACTTGAGGGTAGAAAAAGTTCCCTCTCGCCCTGGCCGGTTTGGCTCAGCGGTTAGACCGTCAGCCTGCGGTCCTGAGAGACCCGGGTTCGGTTCCTGCTAAGGGCATGTACCTCGGTTGCAGTTTGTCCCCGGCCCTGGTCGGTTGTGTGGGTGGCAGCCACTCGATGTGTCCCTTTCACATCAATGTTTCTCTCTCTCTCTCTCTCCCTCCCACTCTACCTGAACAAAAAATGGGAAAATGTCCTCAGGTGAGGATAAAAAAAAAAAAAAAGTAAAAGCTCCCTATTTTTACGAAGGAACCTTCAGGCCGCACGCGATCAAGCAGAGAAGGAAAGAGCAGACACAGAAGGGACAGCCGCCTACATCGTGTTTATCTTGGAGGGGCCCCACCCCAGTCATGACAACGATTACAGCCAACGTTCTCATCGTTTGTCTGATTTTAAACGTCAAAGAAATCGCACTATGAGTGGTTGTCAATTCTGAGTTTGGGTACTACAGGTGTTTTTTATTATTATAGATATTTTTCTACATTGCATTGAATTCTAAACATCTAGTATACACACACACACACACACACACACACACACACACACAGAAGATGAAAAGAAAGAAAAATAAATCCGTTTCGACCTTTTAGTTTGACCACACACAGAATTTGTTCTCATTTTTCCTCTCGCGCGATCCCCCCTCTCCAGCTGGTGCTTCAGCAAGACCAGGTCCTTGTCTCCCCGGGAAGGGTTTCGGCAGAGAGACGGGCATCTCAGCAGGTGGGTAGCTCCGTCCGGCGATGGTACGTCCCAGGGCCTCTGGGGCACCAACGGGTCTCGGTCCCGGCTTTCCTCTTACTCTTGCTCCTCGCCCCACACTTTGTCCTAATGTCCCAGCACCCCTGGTCCTTGGGCTGGGGGCTCCCTAGAATTCTGGGGGGCTTCTTAGAATTTCCCGTCCCTGCAGGCATCTGGTAAGTTTGGGTCCTCCTGGTGCTGGGAGTCATTTTTACCGCGTTCCTTTTTCCCTGTTTTGTCTCAGTGGGACGGCTGTTTTAGTTTTCTGTCTCTTTTTCCCTGGTCTCTGGTCGGCTCGTCCTTTCTCCACCCTGCTCGTATCTACCTAAGTACCTGCTTGGACGGCTCTGCCTGTGTGTGTCTCCCGTCCATCAGCCTGCTCTCCAGTACCCGCTGCGTGTCCTGGTGCTGTGGACCTGGAGGTAATGTCAGATCCCAAGACCAAGGGCCCAGCCCCATTACGCTGCCCCCACTCCAGATTCCAACCCCGAGTCCAGACTGTCACCTTGTCACCGCGCCAGGGTCTGCTGCCCGGCACGTGTAGCAGCCGATAGGACGACATCGGCTTTTGAGAAAACGGGGAGTCGTTGATTTATTTAATTCTGAGTCAGCTCACAGGAGACAAGAGGCGCCGCTGAAATCTGCCCCGTCAATCCGGGGTTCACCGTGGGTTTGGGGGAGGTCAGGGGTAGTGGGCAGGTTTTAGGCGGAAGACCTTGGAACTCGGCCGTTTGTGGTCAGGGGTGTCAACACGGGATCTCCCTGGAAATGGAGCGAAAGGTTTGCCTGTCACAGAGCAGAGTGTGTCTTTCAGCCAAAAGGGGCCTTTGGTTGCTGAAGAGCCAACAGACTGAAATTTACTCCTTGAAGACCAGGTTCTTTGCCCCCAGGTGGGAGAAAATCACACCCTCTGTTTATGCTCAACTTTTCACGTTTCAGACGCCGTTTTCATGTGCGAGTTTCATCCTCCCTGGGCCTCAAAGAGCCAGCCGTGGCAACTGATTTGAAGAGGCTGAGAAAAGGCTTTTTTTTAACCCTCGGTCCCGTCTTACCGCGAGGGTGCTGCACCCGGAGACGCAGGGCGAGGCCCCCGTTGTCCCGGAGAACTGGACCGAGATCTTGGGTCCGGTGTGATTTCCTGCACTTGGGGGCTGGGGGGGGGGGGGTCGAGGGGCAACCAGAACAAGACGGTTTTGTTTGTTGGTTTAATTATTTTTTTCAAACAGGGAAATGGAGTCTATTCCTGTTTGAAATGTCCTCACGGTCTTGACAGCAGTGACCAGAAAACTGCGGCTTGTGGCGGAGATCGTGGTCGAACAGAACCTGAGAGCTTCTTGAGGCGTGTCCGTTAAATGCCGGTGGAACAGGAATCCCAGGTTGGACCGAGTACAGACGAGTTGCTGTCCCGACTCTGTCTGGAGGACCTCGGGGACACAGGGCGCATCACCGTCCAAGCCTGTCCGCTCACCCATTCTCCGCCAATGAGAACCCGGACTCTGCCTGTCTGGAGCCCTTCCCTGGTCTCACCTGTCCCCTCGGGAGCCCCACACAGCCAGCCACCTCTGCCCCACCCACGGGGCCCTCTGCAGGCTGGGTGCCCCCGTGTGGGAGCAGGTGCCGCACACGGCGCGGACTCGGGCACCAGTGTCTGCCCTCTGTCTCGGCCCTCGCTGGCTGTGGACCTCGACCGAGTACCATGGTCTCCACTCGCTCTGTCCTTGGGGAGTTGTCTAGGCCCCTTTACTCCTTCCTGACACGACCCTTCAGAGCTGACCTAGTCCGAGTTCTCCAGAAGCAGGAGGGTGAACAGTGTGGGTAGGTACGTATGCACGAGAGATTTATTAAAGGGGCGGCTCACATGATTGAGGAGCCAGTTCCCAGGGTGTGGGGTCGGCATGCTGAGACCCAGGGAGAGTCAGCGGCGAGGTTCCTGTCCCAGCCCGAAGGCCTGAGAAACACGAGGGCCCAGGGGTGTGAGTCCCAGTCTGAAGCCAACGTCTCAGCTCGGGTGGTGAGGCAAACGAACCCCCTCTCACTCAGCTTTCTGTTCTATCGGTCGTCCATGTGTCGGGCCCACACTGGGAGGGAATCTTTACTCCGTCTATCGACCCAAATGCTAATTTCATCCACAGACACCCTCACAGATATTAGACCGATGACTGAAACTTCAGCGTCAAGCTGACATTAATAATTAACCGTCATGCCCGGCTGGGGTGGCTCAGAGGTTGAGCGTCGACCCTGCACCAAGAGGTCAGCAGTTCGATTCCCGGTCAGGGCACATGCCCAGGCTGTGGGCCTGATCCCCAATGGGGGGTGTGCAGGAGGCGGCCAGTCGATGTTCTCTCTCATCCATGTTTCCATCTCTCTCTCCCTCTTTCTTCCTCTCTCTCTAAAATCAATAAAAGAAAAATAAATAAACTGGAGGTAACCCAAATGTCCACTGTCAGGAGGGTGCATGAATCCACGGTGCATTTATGAAATGGACGACCAATCAGGATACCAATCAGCAGGAGAAAGGCACAAACTGTCGGTAAACCTGAAGACAGAGACAAGCCTGTGAGCACAATGGTGAATGAAAGAAGCCAGAGTGTATGGTTCCGTGTACTTGAACTTCAACACCAGGCACAATGACTCTGTCCTTCGAACTTCTCATCACAGGAAGAACACTGCGTAACCACGTGTGGTGATGAAGGTGAACTAGACGTGATGTGGTGATAACCCTGCCGTATCTACAGATACAGAATCGTTACGTTGCACACCTGAAACTAGGGTAATGTTGTCTGACTATTGTACCTCAGTTTTAAGAATCGGTCCTGTTAGAAATCAGAGGAGCAGTGACCTCTAGTGGGGCAGGTGGATTGGAAACGGTGCAGGCATTTCTGGAACGGAGAGGTTCTGTACTTGATTTGTCGAACGAGTACCTGCATGTATACTTAAGATCTGTAGTCCTGGCTGGTTTGGCTCAGCGGTTAGAGCGTCGGCCTGCGGTCCAGAGAGACCCGGGTTCGGTTCCCGCTAAGGGCGTGTACCTCGGTTGCAGTTTGTCCCCGGCCCTGGTTGGTCGTGCGGGTGGCAGCCGCTCGATGTGTCCCTTTCACATTGATGTTTCTCTCTCTCTCTCCCTCTCGCTCTATCTGAACTAAAAACAAAAAAATGTCCTCGGGTGAGGATAAAAAAAAAAAGATCTGTGTACTACACCTGAATTAAATGATAATTTTTTTCCTTTATTGATTTTAGAGAGAGAGGAAGGGAGAGGGAGAGAGATAGAAACATGGATGAGAGGGAACATCGACTGGCCGCCTCCTGCACGCCCCCCACTGGGGATCAGCCCACAACCTGGGCCTGTGCCCTGACCGGGAATCGAACCAGCGACCTCTTGGTGCAGGGTCGACACTCAACCACTGAGCCACACAGGCCGGACTGTAGTCTTTATTATAAAGGGATATTAATCTGGGCTCACATCAGTCCTGAGAGACAACAAGCAGGAATTAGCATGTCCACTCTATAAGTCAGAAGCGGAGGCTCGGAGAGGTGCTGAGACGTGCCTGAGAGGACACAGGTGGGCGGCATTCTGCATCCCCCTCCCCCGGCCTGCCTCCCTGCGCCTGGGCGCTGTGTCCGGCTGCTGCAGAGGGGCCTGGACAGAACATTTCCTTCGGGGCAGCGATTTCCGAGGAGATGCTTGGTGGCGTCTGCATTTCAGATAAACAAAAAAAAGTTAGTCCCCGTGCCCCATTTTGCAGGCACACATTTACATGAAAAAAAAAATTCTTTTGTTATTTACTGAAATTCAGATGTTAATGAACATATTGTGTTTTTCTTTTTAAACCTGGTGACCCTACTTTGGGGGAGGCTTTAGGTCTCGCCCAGGATCACAGAGAGATGTGCCCGAGATCACGCCGGAAGTGAGTGGCGGACCCACTGGCCGAAACCAGGGGGCACCCAGCACAGAGGACGTGAGAAGAGCCAGGTTGCACCCGTTTCGAGAAGACGGAGGTAATTGGGATTCTCAGGCTGGGAAGCAGTAATTGAGCAGGGAGCTCCAATTAGGAAGCAATTTGAGTGTTTGCACAAAGCCCAGCAGGGGCCGCCCAGCACAGCAGAGCGAACCGGGCTGGGTTCCTGCCTCCTCCCTCAGCTCCCTGGGAAACCTCAAACCAGGCACGAACCTCCCTGGGCGTCTGTTTTCTAGGCTATGAGATGAGGGGGTTATGCTGGTTGATATTTAAAGACCCTGTTGGCCCCCAAATGGGCTTTTCCGAGGGGGCGGGAGGGTTCTCCGTCTTCAGCACCGGGCATTTTTCTCACAGTGCTCTGGGGTTCTGCCGCCCCCTCTGCCTTGCACCTCAGGCTGATTATTCCCTCCTCTGTGGTGGACTCGATTCCGGTCCACACCCCAGTGTAGTTTCTTTTTGCGAACCCCATTCCTGTAGGGCGGCCATTCGAAGCCTCCCTCGTCCTGGCCCCCGCTGCCCCTACACCCCAACAGGAGCACATGTGGCGCCAGGTCGTGTGCCGGGGACAGGGCAGCAGCCCCACTGAGACATCGCGGTGGGGCCGTCTGGGCTCAGGTGTGGGTGTGCTGGTCACTGCGGAAACCTTGCCTGCAGCCCCTGCGGCGTGTAGACTGGTTACAGCGATGGCCCGAATTTGTCTCGCGTCCCAATGTGCACATCCTGCGGCAGTGCCACGCTGGCCACAGGACTGAGCGTGTGGCTTTCTCTGGCCAATGGGATGGAGGGAGAGGCAATACAAGCAGACGCTGGGAAAAGTCCGTGATTGTTTAAGTCTGTCTCTTGGACGGTCCTGCTACTGCCGTGCGCTCGCCTGGGCTGGCTGCTCGGAATCACGTGAGAAATAATCTTAAAAGTGAATGGTGGCCCTGGCCGGTCTGGCTCAGCGGTGAGAGCGTCGGCCTGCGGTGCAGCGAGACCCGGGTCGGTTCCTGCTAGGGGCACGAACCTGGTTGCCCTTCGTCTCTGGCCCTGGTCAGTTTATGCAGGAGGCGACCAGTCGATGTGACTCTATCACATCGATGTCTCTCTCTCTCTCCCTCCCACTTTGATGATAAATGGAAAAATATCCTCGGGTGAGGAATAAAGAAAAAACAAGAAAGTGAATGCTGAGTCGTTCCAGCCAAGGTCGGCCAAGCTCTGCCCAGAATACAAGACACCCAGGTAACCTATCGACGCACACGAAATAATAAACATTTGTGGTTCTCACCCTTTAACTTCCGGGGTGATTTGTTAGGCAGCAATAGATAACCGATACATGGCTTTTCCCTATAATTCTGTGCCACCCAGGAAATAAGTCCTTCTCCCTAATCCTCACCCGAGGACATTTTTCCATTTTTTGTTCAGATAGAATGGAAGGGTGGGAGGGAGAGAGAGAGAAACATCGACGTGAAAGGGACACATCGAGTGGCTGCCACCCACACAACCCCAACTGGACTGAGGACAAACTGCAACCGAGGTACGTGCCCTTAGCGGGAACCGAACCCGGGCCTCCCTGAACCGCAGGTCAACACTCCAACTGCTGAGCCAACCGGCCAGGGCTGGATTTTCCCTTTTTTTCACAATAAGCATGTATCATTTTTATGACCTGAAAACAAATATTATTTTCATTGAGCAATATAGGTATCAGCCTGAGTATAGCCAAGAAAACGAACTACTCAGGTGGAGTTTGCTACTGGGGATTGGTTACTCGGGTGATGCGAGCATTGGGGAGTCAGGTGACAGTGAGGTGACCCATTGGTTAGTCCACTGTCACAGCTCTGGACAGTGTTACGCCGGTGTTAACCCGGAACTGAAGTTGTCCGGGAGAAGCTAGATCCATGGAAGGGAAATTCCTGGTAGGAGCTAGAACCACGAAAGTTCCCGGGGGGAGCCCGGCCGGCGTGGCTCAGTGGGTGGAGCGTCGTCTCGTGGACGGAGAGGTCCTGGTGCGATGCCCAGTCAGGGCACAGGCCCGTGTTGCGGGCTCCATCCCCAGCAGGGGGCGAGCAGGAGGCGGCCGATGGATGTTTCTCTCTCACATCAATGTTTCTGTCTGTCTTGAAAACAGCAATAAAAACATATTTAAAAAAAAAAATTCCCACGGGGGGAGGAGGGAGCTGAAGCTACGGAGCAGAGCCGCCTCCTCCCACCAGAGAGATCACAGGGAGCAGAGAGAACGAGCTAGACCCTGGCCTGTTCTCTCTTCCCATCCTCCGGGTCCACCACGCTGCCCGGCGGCCGACAGTGAGGGGCGTGAGCACTCGGGGTGTCCATGGTGTTACAGACATATTTCTACATCTTCCCGGGGACATCAGGGGACTGACTTCTCTTCCCCGTGAAGGACTTCATTCATCGGCTTCACTATGTCTCTATTGTCTGGTATCCGGGCACATTCCAGTTCCGTGGCTTCTACAAACAGAACTGAGAGCCGTCCCTTTACAGACAATGCTTTTCATTTTCTTCTAAATGAGCTCTTTCAGCTCAGTTCTCCCCGGATGGGTCCGTGTAGATCCGCAACGTTCCCATGTATTTCTAGGGCACACACTTCAGTGTGGCAGGAGCAGCTCTGCATTTAGGGTCAGACCTGCTAAGTTTTCTTTTGCTCATCTATAAAGAGAGCGTCACCCCTGTCCTACCTTCCCAGCAGCCTTTGCGAAGAGGGAGGTAGTCGCTGCTGCCTACATGACGTGCAACTGTGTGGTGGGACCTGGTGACACTGGTGAAGATATTGATGGAGATGGTAAAGATCTGACAATTCTTGGTTCTAACACGGGGGCTAATGGGCATCGTCGCTGGTACTGTGAGCCAATAATCCGAAGAGAATCATATCCCGGCTTTACCCCGTTCAAGTGTGAGGATCTCAACAGTTTACCTGCAGCCCACATACTTCTTGGCCATGCAGAGTATCTTTTTTTTTTTAATGCAACTTTTTTAAATGAATGACCTAAAAATATAAGACCTAAAACCATAAAACTCATCCTGGCCGGCGCGGCTCAGGCAGGTGAGTGTCCTGCGCTGAAAGTTGTTGGTTTGACGCCCGGTCAGGGCATGTGCCCAGGCTGCAGGATTGATCCCTGTGAGGGGTGTGCAGGAGGTGGCCGATCAGCGTTTCTCTCTCTCCCCTCTCCCCTCCTCTCTCTCTCAAATCAATAAAAACATTTTTAAGAAAAAAAAAACAACAAAAAACCATCAAACCCCTAGAAGGAAACATAAGGAGGAAACTTCATGACTTTGAATTTGCAATGATTTTTTTTTATATGATGCCAAATGCTCAGGCAACAATAGATAAACGAGACCACATCAAACACGAAGATGTCTATGTGCCCTGGCCGGTGTGGCTCAGCGGTTAGAGCGTCGGCCTGCGGACCAGAGAGACCCGGGTTCGGTTCCCGCTAAGGGCATGTACCTCGGTTGCAGTTTGTCTCCGGCCCTGGTTGGGTCGTGTGGGTGGCAGCCACTCGATGTGTCCCTTTCACGTCGATGTTTCTCTCTCTCTCTTCCTCCCTCTTTCTCTCCCACTTAAAAAAAAAAAAAAAAAAAAAAAAGATGTCTATGCAGCAAGGACACAATCAGCAGAGCAATAAGGCAACACATTAAAAGGCAAAAATATTTTTAAATTATTTATCTCACAAAGGACTAGTATCTAGAATATATAAAGAACTCCTACAACTCAACAGCAGCATAAATAACGCCATTAAAAATGGGCAAGGGCCTGGCCGGTGTGGCTCAGTGGTTGAGCGTCATCCCTGAACCAAGAGGTCACCAGTTTGATTCCCGGTCAGGGCACATGCCCAGGTTGTGGGCCCGATCCCCAGTGGGGGGCGTGCAGGAGGCGGCCATTCGATGTTCTCTCTCGTTCATGTTTCTATCTCTCTCTCTCCCTCTCTCTTCCTTTCTCTCTAAAATCAATAAAGAAAACAAGTTTTTTTTTAATGGGCAAGGGATTTCATCAATATTTCTCCAAAGAAGACGTAGAAATGGCCAACAAGTATATGAAAAGATGCTCAACATCATTAGAGAAATGCAAACCAAAACCACAATGAGACACCACCTTGTACTCATTAGGTTGGGCGCTATAAAAAATAATAATAATAATAATAAAGAGAGAGAGAGAGAATAAACAAAAACAACCCCTAAACAGCAAACAACAAGTGTTGGTGAGAATGTAAAATGGTGCAGCCACTATGAAAAGTCTTCAAAAAATTAAAAACAGAATCACCATATGATCCAGCAATCTCACGTCTGGGCGTATATCCAGAATTTAGAACAGGATTTAAAGAGGTATTTGCCTACCTATGTTCATAGCACATTCTTCCCAACTGCCAAAAGGCAGAAGTCCAGTTTCCATCAATGGATTAGTGCGTGAAGAAGATACGGCCCATCCACACAATGAGATATGATTCATCCTTTAAAGAGAAGGCAGTCTTGCCCGGCCGGTGTGGCTCAGTGGTTGAGTGTCGATCCTGCACCAAGAGGTCGCCGGTTCGATTCCCAGTCAGGGCACATGCCCAGGTTGTGGCCCGATCCCCAGTGGGGGGCGTGCAGGAGGCAGCCAGTCCATGTTCTCTCTCATCAATGTTTCTATCTCTCTCCCTCTCCCTCTCTAAAATCAATAAAGAAAAAAATTAGAGTCAATCCTGTCACATCCAATCCACGGACGAGCCCTGAGAACGTGATGCCAAGGGAAACAAGCCAGTCACAGTAGGACAGATACTGTGTGATTCCACTGACAGGAAGAACCTAGAAGCGTGAAATTCCTCATCAAGACAGAAGGTGGCAGGGTGGTCAGCAGGGTGGGGGAGGGGTGTGTGGTGCGGCCATCGGAGGGGTACGGACTTCGACTCGCAAGAGGGAAAGCTCCAGAGATCTTTTACGACGCGTGAATATTCTTCAAAACGGCTCTATGGTGAATTTTATAATTTTTGTGTGTGTGTGTGGTACGTGCCCCTAGCGGGAACCGAACCCGGGACTCTCTGGTCCATAGGCCAACGCTCAACCGCTGAGCCAAACTGGCCAGGGCACATTTTATAAAAGTTTTAACCACTGTTAAAAGAAAAACTGAGACACAAATGGCCAAATCGTGTTAAATTTCAGAAAGTGTCTCCTCCCCTCCCATGTTGCCAAAGTCGTTCCTACTTTTCCGTGGAGTGTGCAGGGTCAAGGGCACGGACGGGCTCTTCCACAAAGCCTGCAGTATGTACTGTTCAGGTAAGGATGCTCTTCAGCCCTGGCCGGGTTGGCTCAGCAGTTAAAGCGTCGGCCCACAGACTAATGAGTCCCGGGTTCGATTCCAGCCAAGGGCATGTACCTAGGTTGTGTTTGTCCCCGGTCCTGGTCAGGGCTGTGCGGGAGGCGACCAGTCGATCTCTCTCTCTCTCTCTCTCTCTCTCTCTCTCTCTCTCTCGTTCTATCTGAAGATAAATGAAAAAATACACTTGGGTGAGGATGAAAAAAAGAATGATTTTCAGGCAGAAGGAACAAAAGGCCCACTTCAAGGATTTATTTTCGACATGCAGCTAGAGGTGGGTAGCGGCTGGTTTAGGTCAGCAAATCTGCTTTCGGATGCCATGCTCCGGAGCCTACAGAGACGTCAGCTCGGGGTCCTTGGCCACAGCTGTGTGCACTGGAGGCTGGGAAGACGAGGGTGCGGCCCAGGCAAGGCACCTTGCTGCTCTGGACCAAGGTGAGGGCTGTCCTAGGACCAGACGGTCCCGCTGACTCAGCTCACACGACCTCCTCCGAGGAGGTTGCGTTGATTCCACCCACACATTCCCTCTGTCTCCTCCTGTAGGAGGGAAGTCCTCATCCGTCTGCTCACTCCTGCAGCCCCCTGCCTGGAACAGCCTGGAACAGCCTGGAGCATCGTAGGCGCTCAGTGCAGATTCCTTGGCTGCAAATAGGGTGAGCATGGCCTCGCTTATTTCGAAAAAGATTAATGACAAGGGTCCATTCTGTTGTGACAGACATGCACGGGGGAGGTGCTACGGGGCAGCCCCGGGGGCCAAGGGAGAGGGCGGCCCCTCCGAGGTTCTCGTCCTGCTCCTGTGAATGAATTTTTTTTTTTTTTTTATCCTCACCAGAGGATATTTTTCCATTTTTTGTACAGATAGAGTGGGAGGGAGAGAGAGGAAGGGAGAGAGAGAGAAACATCGACGTGAAAGAGACACATCGAGTGGCTGCCACCCGCACAACCAACCAGGGCCAGGGACAAACTGCAACCGAAGTACATGCCCTTAGCGGGAACCGAACCCGGGTCTCTCTGGACCGCAGGCCGACGCTCTAACCGCTGAGCCAAACTGGCCAGGGCCTGTGAATGAATTTAAACAGGACACTTCAGATGACTGGGTTGTGATAAAGCCAGTGTATTAACAAAAATCAAGCCCTGGCCGGTTTGGTTCAGAGGTTAGAGCGTCGGCCTGCGGTCCTGAGAGACCCGGGTTCGGTTTCTGCTAAGGGCACGTACTCGGTTGCAGTTTGTCCCCGGCCCTGGTTGGTTGTGTGGGTGGCAGCCACTCCATGTGTTCCTTTCACATCGATGTTTCTCTCTCTCTTCCTCTCTCTCCCTCCCACTCTACCTGAACAAAAAATGAAAAAATGTCCTCTGGTGAGGATAAAAAAAAAAAATCAAAGCATGCACGTTTATTAAAGAGGCAAGGCGAGACTTCGGTCAGGATGGCGCGGGGGTAAACGCAGCATGGCCTCCTCCCACAACCACATCACAGTGACAACTAAACTACAGCACAACCATCACTCAGAACCACCTGACACTGAGCTGAAGGGAGGTCGTACAGCTACGAGATTAAAGAAGCCACGTGGAGCCCTGGCTGGTTTGGCTCAGCGGTTAGAGCGTCGGCCTGCAGTCCAGAGACCCGGGTTCAATTCCCGCTAAGGGCACGTACCCCGGTTGCAGTTTGTCCCCGGCCTGGTTGGGTCGGGCGGGTGGCAGCCACTCGATGTGTCCCTTTCACGTCGATGTCTCTCTCTCTCTCCCTATCTGAACAAAAAAATGGAAAAATGTCCTCGGGTGAGGATAAAAAAAAAAAAGCCACCTGGAGACAGGCTCCAGGGTGGGGGAGGCAGCTTGAAAGGCACCAGAGACACAGGGAAGAACTGAGTTGTCTGGCATGGGGTGAGGGCTGGAGGGGCTGCTTTCTCCTAGACAGACGTGCTGGTGGAGGCTGATGTTCCCTTGGTGAGCCCTTCCCTGGGGCAGCAGACGGGCCCCATATCTGGGACTCCAGCCACCTGGCTCACAGTTTGCCCCACCCTGGTGATTCCCTGAGGCCCTGCCCCACCCAACTTCAGGGCCCACCCAAGCTGTTTCCAACGGCTTTACCATAAGATTGGCCTGTTTTGGACAGATACATGCCAAAAAAATGAAACTAGATCACTTTTTTACACCATATACAAAAATAACCTGAAAATGGATTAGAGACTTAAATGTAAGACCTAAAACCATAAAGCCCATGGTGGGAAACATAGGCAGTAAACTCTCCAACGCTGGTCTTTGCGATATTCTTTGGGCTGTGTCTCCCACAGCAAAGACAGTGAACGCAAAAATAAAAAACTGAAGCTACATCAAACTGAAAACCTTTTGTACGGCAAAGAAAACCACCAACAAGACAAAAAGACAACCTACTGAGTAGGGGAAAATATTTGCAGATGATACATCTGATAAGGGATTACTATCCAACATATATAAACAACTTATACAACTCAACATCAAAAAACCCCCCAAGCAATCCAATTTAAAAATGGGCAAAAGCACCCGCCTGGTGTGGCCCAGTGGTTGAGCGTCGACCCTGCACCAAGGGGTCGCCAGTTTGATTCCCGGTCAGGACACATGCCCAGGTTGTGGGCCCGATCCCCAGTGGGGGGCATGCGGGAGGCGGCCAGGTGATGTTCTCTCTCATCGATGTTTCTATCTCTCTCTCCCTTTCCTTCCTCCCTCTCTAAAATCATTAAAGGGAAAAAACAAAAACTAAAACAGGGAAACTGGACAGAGAGACACGCGGGCAGATACACAGCCGTGCAACGGAGCAGAGCTCAGCCAACAGGAAGGCTGCGCATCAGACGGCGCTGCCGTGCAGAGACCTGGAAGGCGCACACCACGGGCGCAGCGTGACCCTGTTTACCAGGAACTGTCCGGCCTATCCGTGCTCCGGAATGAAACGCAAGGGCAACCTCTTCCGTGCGAGGGGCAGCCACAGTGCGAGGGCTCCTGTCTCACTATCGCCGGGACTGCTTGAATCTTCTGTGTGTGCATGAATTTCTTTTTCAAGTGCCACTGGGGGTATGTGTGGGGTGGCATTGCAAACCACTCCCATCTTCTTTATGCTTTTCTATATTGAGAAAGAAAACCTTTTAAGATCTTGGCTTCCAGAAAACTGTGATGAGTGTGTGTGTGTGCATGTGCGTATGTGTGTGCGTGCATGTGTGCGCACACGTGTGTGTGGTGCTGTGACTCCCTAAAAAGGGCCCACACAGCCTGTGCCCTCCTGCTCTGGGCCTGGTTTCGCATCCTCAGGAAAAGGCACTGGGATGGGCTGGGTTGGCCTGAACACCTGCTTCTCCAGAGGCAGCTCGCCCTCCTCTCCTGCTCCTCTGGGGAAAAGCCAGCTCATTCTGGGCAGGGGGTGTGAGGGTCTGGGAGAGGAGACGGGCATGGCCCAGCCCTCAGAAATAGCAAAGGTACTGCAGGGACCCTCCTTCCCGCCTCCCTCCCTCCCTCTCTTGTGTTTCAGGACCTGCCCCTTCAGAGAAAGAGGCACAACAATGAGGAAGACTCTATTCCAGAGGTTCAGGGACCTGCAAGACCATATGAAGGGCGTCCAGCCTTCAACCCGAGACAATCAGGAAACAAAGACCTGGCAGGTTGGCCAGACCTGGGCTGGGACGTGGTGGAAAACGCGGTGGGGGGTGAGTGTCCATGAGCCCCTTCGGGGGCCTGTCTGTACCTGTCCGCACCTCTGTGTGCGTCTCTGGGAGATGAGGCGTGTGTGCCTGGGGTTGTGGGTGTGCCCCTCTCCCTGGGGGTGTGGGTGTGCCCCTCTCCCTGGCTGCAGCAGAGGGAGAGCCCACGTTCAGGTGTGCAGTTTGCTGTTGGCCCCGCTTGCTTTCTGGTGGCAGAAGCTGGCAGTGCAGTGGGCTAATGAGGAATTCATCCGCTTTGGGATCCCCTCAGGGCGAGTCCTCCCAATGGAGCAAACTGCTAGGAGCCCAGAGCCCGGAGTGATGACTTCATTCCACCGGGGCTTCCAAACATCCCTGCTGGTCTGAGGCCCTGACAACCTCTTGTAAGGCCGAGGCCAGAGGCTCGAAGAGATGCAGGGATCTCCTGACCTTTGGGCACCACCCGGTCACAGGCTGGGTCGGCTGTTTGATGTGCAGTATGGTATGGACGGTAGGTAGAGGTGGCCCGAGTACCACGTTTCCACGGTGACAGGCCCTGGGCATGCTCTGCATCAATAAATCAATAAGATGTTTACAGGCAGGTCCGGGGACTGGGTCAGTCCCCAAGCTCACCTCATTCCTGTTACAGCGTTGGCTCAGAAGGGGCCTGAACACGTGTTTATCCCCTGCTCACCCTGCACTGCCCAGGTCCACTTGCCACAGTCTTCCGCCTGCTCTGTGTCCCCTAAGGAAGCTGACCCGTGGACACCATCATCACCTGGGCTTCCTGGCTCCCAGATGGCTTCAGCCAATGGGAATCAGAGGGTGGGCGGAGAGAAACATCGCGGTGTTTTCCCACCTCCCCCAGTTTGGGCAGTGGTTCTGTCTCTCTGCACCCACCGTGCTTCTCGGGGATCCTGACCCCCAGCTGCAGCTTTGCCCGGTTCCAGGAAACCACTCCTGCCCTTCTCCCTTCAGGCTTCGTAGGCAAAGGCCACTGTTGCCAGCCCAGGAAATGCACCACCCCGATGACTCCCGCAGCCCCCCACCCCCCAAATGCCAGGTGAACTGCCCCTTCATGAAACTCTTCTCAGTAAACCCGGCTGTGTGGGTCCTCTCTCCTGCTGGGACCTGGTGCCCCCCAGTTTTCCACGAGGCAGGAGAGGATACAGACCCGTTTTCTGCTCCTTGCTCACAAGCTCCTTCTGGCCTCAGGACCTTTGCATCTGCCGTTTCCTCTGGTTGTTCGAAAATCTCAGTCCGGCTGGTGTGGCTCAGTGGGCAAATGACTTGTGGGCCTCAGTTTCTTCATCTGCAGAATGGGGGTGATCCCACTTGGCTTCCCAGGGTTGCTGCAGAAGTGAATGAGTATAAAGCTTTTCGCGTTGAACCCAACACACGCCACGTGCTCTTTAAACGATCACCAGCACCCCTGTCTTTTGATTCTAAGCTCCCCACGAGGGGCACGGGCGGACCTCACACCCCCCCTTTGCAGGTGCAGAAATGAAGGACCAGAGCCCCAGAGCAAGCTGACCACGAGGGGTCAATGCACACCTGCCCTCAGGATGAAAGTGGGGCGACGGCACCCCTCCCAGGGGCAGGCTGTGAGAATGCAACGTCATCGTGCAAACAAGTGACGGGCGCGCGGAGGGCACCGTCCCAGCGCCTGAGGTCAAGTCAGGTCGCCGAGGACGGGGCTGCGGGCTTCGCCCCGGCAGGGGGCGCGCGCGAGCTGCAGTCGGGGAGGCCCGGATGCCTTCGGGCCAGAGCACCAGCCGCCCGCTCCCGTTCCACGCGCGGAAGCAGAGCGCGCGGACGGCCGCCCGATGTCACACCGCGACCCCAGCGCGGGCGGCGGGGACGCGGGCGTGCGGAACCCCCGGAATGCGGAACTTGCGGCGGCCCGGGCTGGGTTTACTGTGGCCCGCCTTCGGGGGCGGGGCGATGCCGCGCGTCCAATTCGGTGACGCACAGCGAGGAAACCTCGCGCGGCCTCCCCCATGGGCGTGGCTTCCCGAGCCAGGCGAGAATCTATTGGGTTAATCTGTGGAAGGCGGGACTTGATGGACGTTGAGGGCGTGGCCTCCTTCCAGGCGAGCCCTCCGCGAGGACGTCAACGTTCTGTGACGCAGGCGCGGGCCGGGCCGGGCGGAGCCGAGCCTGCGGGAGCTCCGCCCCCAGCGGAGGCGGCGCGGCCGGGGGCGTGTCCTGGGCGGGGCCTGCCCCGCCCCGCCCGGTGGTGCGCGGTGGTCGGCGCTGCGAGGCCCCGCGACGAGGATGTGAGTGTGGCGGCTCGGGGGGCGGGGGGCGCGGCGCTCCCAGCTTCCCAGGGGCGCCGTGGGCTGGAGCACAGGTGCGCGGGCGGCCGGGCGGGGCGGCCAGGTGCGGGCTCAGGTGTGGCGGGCGAGGGCACGCTCGGCCCGGGGCCTCTTCTCCGCGCTCGGGCCCCGCCAGCCCCTGCGGAGGTGGGTGGCGGCGCCGGGACGGGCCAGGTGGACCCGAGGCCCCGGGCTGGGCCCCCCTCCCCCGCGCGAGCCCCTAACGTCCGCTGGGGCCGCCAGCTCTCGGGACAAGGCCGCTGTCCTCGCTCCGCTGCTTGGGCGCATTTCCCCGTCCCCGCAACAGGCACGGAGACCGGGTGTGGTTGTCAGCCGTGGGGAGCCGGGAGCTGAGGGCCCGCAGCCGCACCCTGGGCGCGCACCCGCCGCCCCTGCCGCTGCCCAGGCCGCGGAGCAGAGGGCGCCCTGCCCAGCGTGGGGCTGGAGAGCGCAGAGGCGGCGCGCGCGGGCGGACCGCTGTTCTGTCGCTGCTGCTCAGAGGCCCCTTCTCTTCCGCGGAGGGAGCTGGTGGGACCGGGTCAGGGCCGTGTAGGTCAGCTGACTGGCGCCCCGTGGGAGGCTGCGCCCCGCTGAGACCGGCGCTGTCTGTATTCTGTCCTCATGCACACGGAAGGCCACACACAACCCAGCTGTACCAGCATGTGCCGGAGACAAAACTGCCCATCGTGTACTCGCCCCGCTACAACATAACCTTCCTGGGCCTGGAGAAGCTGCATCCCTTTGATGCGGGGAAATGGGGCAAGGTGATCAGCTTCCTGAAAGGTATGGAAGCCCCCCCAAACACACCGCCTTGGACCCTCCATCTGCTTCCTTTACCCTCCCCCACTGCCTTTCCCTAACGCAGGCTCAGACTCTCCTACCTCCAGCCTCCGTCCCCAGACTGCCTTCCACCGGTACTGTGAAAAGCATGTTTCCGACGGACTCCTAAGCATTATCTGTTCCAGTCTCAAACCTTCCCTGGCTCCCATCACTCTGGACCTGAGTCCTGTGCCTTTCCCAGAAGCCCAGTAGACAGGGAGCTAAGTCATGGTGGACATAGGACGCTGAAGTTTGGAGAAATGTATTGTCCATCCTCCCCCCCCCCCCCCCCCGCTCAGAAAATCTAAGAAAACTTTTGCTCCAACCCCATGGATTATAAACGGAGGACCCCCTCCCCCGCCCCCGGGTCTCAGAAAAGTGAGGAAACAAGCCCACAGTCACATAGGACTGAGTGACAGAGAGGAACTGAAGCTCAGAGCTGCAGGCTGCTGCCCTTCATGGCTCATCCCCTGGGCAAGGTCAGACTGCCTGCCCCCACTGCAGTGTGGGAAATTCACCTAGTCTAGTGCGAAGACACTCTACTTATCCCTCTGTGCCTGAGGGACGTAGGAAGCGTTACCCGTATGTTACCTGGCGTGGGATGACTTGATCCTTCCGATCACACATGGAGAAAATCTCACTTGGGGGCCAGCCCGTCTCGAACACGAAGCCCCTTCTCCCTTTAAACAGATCAGAGCAAGCCTGAGGTCTGCACCTTGCAGAAAACAGAATCAAATGGGAGATGAAGAACACTGTTTGCTATTGTATTTGTGTTTTGTTTTTATTTCTGGGTAACTTCTATTTATGGCCAGTGATACTGATTTTCTGTTTGCGGTAGTGATTGTTCTCAGAAATGTATTGAGTAGGAAAGAAGACAAGTCGTGTCCAAGGACTCTGCAAAGCAAGCAGAGCCAGCCTGCCCTCCCCGTGCAGTCCCCTGAATAGGGCCCTTTATGCTCTGTTCCCAGTCCAAGTTACTCCCTCCACCTCCCCTTCTTGGGCTCCTGTGTCACCCGCAGAAGGTCCCTGTCTCTCACCTGGGACCAGCAGTCCTCGTGAGTCCCCCTGTCTCCTGGGAGGGTCTAGGTGGACAGGAGGCAGGGGTCTCACGGAGGCCTTGGGTGCCGCCGTGGAGAGAGCTGGCTCTTTGTCTGCAGACAGGAGCCATAGAATGTTCTAGAGTGGGGTTGAGGGGTACCTGCTGTATGTGGGAAATGTATGTAACTAGTTGGTTTCCACAGGACTGGTTTCAAGGGTAATACTGTATTTATTTATTTTTTTCTTTATTAATGTGAGAGAGAGAGGGAGAGAGAGAGAGAAATATTGATGAGAGAGAACATCGATGGGCTGCCTCCTGCACGCCCCCCACTGGGGATCGGGCCCACAAGCTGGGCATGTGCCCTGACCAGGAATCGAACCAGCGACCTCCTGGTGCAGGGTCGACGCTCAACCACTGAGCCACACCGGGCGGGCTCTGAGGGTAACACTTTAAAACAGGTCCTGCTTGGTTTCCCTGGAACCCAGAGCATCATGGGCCTGTTTTCACTCTGCTCCAGAGCACTTCACGCTCTTGACCTGTTTCTTCTCTTGCAAAACGGAGCGAATCTGGTCTGGCGTGTGTGAGGGTGACGACATGACGCGGTGTTTTCTAAACAGCCGTCATTTGCAAACCACTCTTGGGGCCTTGCCATCTCTTCCCACCACCTGTTCCATTTCCACGTCAGATCTTTTATTGACGTAGCCTTCGTTTTTAAAAACTTAAAAAAAACTTGTTTTAAAGGGAAACATATGTCATCCCAGTGGGAAGGCTGGCTTCCTTGCCATAAACAGAAAGTCGTGGGAAATATAAGTGCTTCGAGCACAGGAGTGCGATTCCGCTCAGGCTGCTCACTGTGGCTGCAGGCCGTGCTCTTGGGGGTTGAAAGGGAGACGACCGTGCTCAGGCTGGTGTTAAGGAGAGGCTCCCCACACTGAGGATCTTTGCATGCACAGGGTCCGAAGTCCCCTGGCCTAGGTCCCGCCATTGTCCACACTGGCCTGGGAGGTGGCTGTTGTCAGAGTGCCCATAAACCAGCGTGCCCACCCGCTCCTGGGGCAGGGCTGACGGAAGCCAAGTCTGCAGCCTGTGGGAGGGGCGGGGGCTGGGCCCGGCCCTCCCAGAGGGAAGCATGACACCCACTCTGTGGTTTCAGAGGAGAACCTTGTGTCCGACTGTGTGCTGGTGGAGGCACGGGAGGCCTCCGAGGAGGACCTGCTGGTGGTGCACACGAGGCGGTATCTCAACGAGCTGAAGGTACTCGGCCAAGGGCCTGGGGCTGCCAGTCAGCCTGGAGGAGTGGCGGGGGCGGGGGGGGGGCGGGGGGGCAGCTGGGCCTGGGGAAGCACAGCCTAAAGGGCTCCATTCCTGTCAGTAGTGCAGGGGACGCATGTGAGGGAAGTGAGGGGTCCCGAGGGAAGTGAGGGGTCCTGAAAAGGCACACCCCAGGGATGGGTTGGACTGCTCGGGGTTCTAGGCACCCCGTCTCGGGGGGGTGTCCACATGGTGGAGAGAGAAGCGTCACGGGGCTGGGGTTTCTGCATTAGTGACTTCCATCTGTGCTCTGTGACCGGACGGCAAGGACCCCTGCGGAGATGTCTCATCCAGTCAAAGCTGTTCTGTTTGGCCTGTTTTTATATAGGACTGAAGTCTAAGATTTTGTTCTAAAAACTTCTACTGCTAAAGACTTGTTGAAACCGTTGTCGGGCTAAAAGGAGTTTGAAGCGCACCCAGGCCCAGCAGGGAGCGTGTCCGGCCATGCGGGTGCTGGTGTGTGAGCTGGAACAGCTGCCCTGCCCAGGGGGTGCTGCTGCCCAGCCCACTGGGCCAGCGCGGCCAGTGCCTGGCTGTGAAGCAGCCAGAAGCCAGAGTATTAGCTGATGGTGCCTGGTTCCTCAGCACGGCAGCTCCTACCTGTGCAGCCCACCTGCAGACCAGACTGACCTGCTCGTGCCCTCTTTCTGGAGGACCCCACAGCGCTCATCCGTGGCTGAGGTTCCGAGGGTGGAGGCCTCAGCCAGTCCCCTTTGTGGGGCAGCGGGGGTCTGGGAGGGGGGGGGGTTTGCATCAGAACTCAGTGCTGTTAGCCTGCCCTGGTGGGGCCAGGGGTGCAACAGGTTCTCTGCCCCCAAGAGTATGGGAGCCCTATACACCTGAAACCTATATAATTTCATTAACCAATGTCACCCCAATAAATTAAATACGAATTTTTTTTTTTGGTATGTGCCCCTAGTGGGAACCGAACCGGGGACTCTCTGGTGGGCAGGCCAATGCTCCAACCACTGAGCCAAACCGGCCAGGGCTAAATACAAATTTAAAAAGAGTCCTGACCCCCGACCCCCAGGTTTCCCAGCTCAGCCATAGTAGATGCCGGAGGTCACCAGGCCCCTCCCCTCCATAGGTGGGACAGCCTAGGCCCAGAACGAGGCCACCCTGCTTGTCACCTGGGAAGTCAGGCAGGCCTGGGGGGACCCCAGGTGAGGCATCCAGGTTGGTCCTCCAGGTTCCTGGTCACAGCTGCTGCCTCCCTTCACCCAGATTCTGGCCCGGCTGTGAGAATTCTAGATGAAGTCTGACGACGTGAACTCGTGAAAGAGTAGCAGGAGGGGTTGACACCTGGCTTGTGCAAGAGACAGGTGTGCGAGGCCTTGGCAGGAAGCCCACACTTGGCTGCCCGGTCTCCTGGGGCCTGAGCATGCGTGGTCACAGCCCATAGGCCAGGGCTGGGCCAGGAGCCCGGAGTCCAGAGAGTGAGGCAGGGGCAGGGGCAGGAGGCATCGAGTTGGGGCAAGAAGGAGCCAGGACAGTGGGGCCAGGGTGAGCATGTCAGGACACACCGCACCGCTGGGCCTCCCCTTCGAGAGACCGGGGGCAGTCCTGTGGGGCCGGCAGCACGCGGGCCTTGGGCCCCCCAAGCCCCAAGGGTGGCGTGCTGTGTGGTAAGTAATAAAGTATTAGCAGGTAGAGTCCCAAGGAGGAAATTGAGGTCAGGAGCCTGGGGGAATTCAGATCCAGCAGAAAGGATTCACCAGGATGGAATGAGGGAGTCGCATTCTGACTCGGAGCTCCCTGGCGGCCAGAGCAAAAGGAGAAACATGACGAATCCCATACACAGACTGTGGTGAAGGAGCACAGTGGACCTCGGTTCTCGAACCTTTCATTCCAGAAGGCTGTTCAAAACCTGAAGCATTTTCCCATTAGAAATTATGTAAATTGAACTATTAATCCATTCCAGACCCCCAAGTGATTCCCTGAACGCACATCATATAACCCATGGACACAGACAGCAGGGCGGTGAAGGCGGGGGCGGGGTGGGAACCAGGTGGAGGGCCATGGGGGGGAAGGGAGCATCTGTAATACTCTCAACAATAAATATTTTAAAAAATGACCTGTCTATATACAGTACATGTCTAATCCACAAATAAATAGTACTGTTTAGTCTCTAAACACTTTAAAAACAAAAAGGACATGAGACGTAAATGTAAATTTAACAAAAAGAACATGAAATGTACAGTAAAAAATGAAAATTTAATAATAATAATGAGCAGCAACAAAAGCAAAAAAACACGAGGATATTCACAGCAAAACTCCCTGACTCATTCTCTCGTGTGTCTGTCACCTGAGAGACGCCTGGCTGCCCACAGGTGTCAGCAGCAGGAAAGGGCTGTCAGCTGAGAGGTGACTGTGGGGACAGGAGACGTTCGAGAGCCGAGGTCTGACTGTGTCCAGTCAGCATCTCTGCCAAATGCTGACCGTGCACCAGATACAAAACCAGACTGAGCCGGGTCCCTGGTGCGTGGGCTGCATCGCCACGGAGACTGAGAATGGCGCCGTGACCACAGAAGCCCGTCAGGCTCCGGGGCTTGAAGGGAGGAGAGGCCAGGGTACCTGGGCGGAGGTGAGCTCACTTAGACTGAGGTCAGGGAGGTGAGGTTTGAGCTGAGACTAAGTGAGCAGGTGGCCCAGGTGGAGCTGGGGGGAAGGATGCTCAGCCTCAGACTTGGAGCGGGAAGGGGCCTGGCCTCCTGCAGGGGGAGGGTGGCCCATGATCTGTCGGAGGCCGGCAGCACCAGGCCGCAGGGCTTGGCGGCTGTGGGAAGGGTTCGCCTCTGTTCAGGTGGTGTGCTGTGCTCTGGATGCTCTGGGGAGACCCCTGTCCCTGCCGGCGTCGTCTGGCATCTGGGGGTCGCAGCACAGGGTCACCCATGCACCCCGCAGACACCCACAGTCGCTGTTCTCGTTTCTCTGCTGCGGACACCTGGATGGTCCGCAGGTTCCCAGGGCCGCACTCTCCTGGCGGTTGTGTGAGCGTGGGACACCCCTGTCCCTGCCCCACCCGTGGGCCTGGGTCCCTCCTGGCCCTGCACCGCGTGGCCCCAATGCTCAGTACCCAGGGCGTCGAGGGAGACGCTGTAGCCTGGTGTTGGGCAGAGGGAGGCCTTTCAGGGAGGCAGGTGTCTGTGAGCACCTGCTGTGTGCACGGCCCAGGGTGGCCCTGAGGTGGTGGTTGGTGGGGCCAGCACAGGGCTCTGCCTCCTGCTGCCCCGTGCAGTTCGCCCTGGGGGGTGCCGTGCGGATCTGACATCTCGTCTGGTGTTGCATGAGCTGGGCAGTGCTCAGGACGTGTCTAGCAGCCAGTGCCCGTGAGCACCACGCCCGTTCTGGGGGCAGGAGAGCAAACCCTGTCCCAGGGGCGCTGGCGGTGAGGCGGGGGTTCGTATGTGAGAAGGTGCTGAGCGCCCCGGGGAAGTGCCGCAGGGAGCAGGCGGGGAGGGCCCGAGGGTCTTACTGACCGTCAGCGGGGGGCAGTGAGGGAGGAGGCCTGTGGGCACCGGGGGGACGAGGCAGCGGCCTCTCCAGTGCTGCAGCCGGCGAGGGGGCTGGACTGCAGGGTGGGGGCGGGGCGGGCCCCAGCTGTGGCTGGGCCGGCGGGGCCGTGGGCGCCGGGGCCGTCGGGGGCCATGGGCGCTGGGCCGGTGGGACGTGGTCCGATCAGTTTCACCACGTTGCGTGGCAGCTGAGAAGAGAAAGGCTGTGGAGACCGAGGCAGGAGACCAGTGAGGAGGAGGAGGGCGCAGTGATCTCGGGGGGACGCCGGGCTCTGGGCTGGGCTGCGGCCCGCGGAGAAAGGGGGCCTCGGAGATTCTGGCCTGCGCCCCGCCCCCTGGTCACTGCCGTCCTGGCCTCGCGTCCTGGGGAGAGAGGGGCGAAGGCCCCGCAGCGGGGAGCCCAGGGCCTCTGTTCTCCCCGGAGGAGGCCCCTCTCTCTTTTGTTTAAAATGTAAAATTCACACGACGCAGAATTAATCGTGAACCAGAACACGCAGCGGCGTGCAGCGCACTGGCCGCGGGGCAGCTGTCCCCTCTCCCTAGTTCCAAACGGGCTCACCCCGAAGAAGCAGCCCCATGCACACCGAGTGGTGGCTCCCATTCGTCCCTTCCCCGCGGGGCACCCCCGACCTGGTGATGCCTTTTCTGGGTGTTCTGTCAGTGTACCTGGGGGCGCAGTGCGTGCCCTGCGTGCCCCGCCTGCTTCGGTCAGTGTTTCCCGGCCAGCGGCCTGTGCGGTAGCAGGGCCCCCACCCCCCACCAGGGCCCCCCACCCCCCACCAGGGCCCCCCACCCCGCGCGGAGGCCGAGGAGCGCCCCCTGTGGGTGGACCCCGCTCTGCGGCGGGTCCGCGAGGGGATCTGCGGGGTCCCAGCCCCCCTGCTGCTGGCGGGTTTAGGTGCCGCGATCCTGGGAGCCCGGTTCTGTTACTCGGTTCTGAGTGGAGGTGCTGAGCCGTGTGGTCTTGCTGACGTTTTGAGGAGTCACCGAAATGACTCCACAGCAGCGCAGTTTACTTTGTTAATTTATTGATTTTAGAGAGAAAGGGGGAAGGGGGAGAGATTTGTTGTGCCCTCCCCGGGAATCGAACCTGCCACCTTGGGGTGTCTGGGCAGTGCTCTGACCACTGCGGCCCACCCAGGGCCCATTCACGCCTGACCCGCCCCAGGGCTCCCCCTCTGCGTCTCCCCACGCGGGCTTCCTGTTTTCTCAGAGGCTCCTCAGTGGCCGTGGAGTGGGCTCTGCTGCGCCTCCGCCTGCCTCTCCGGGCGTGGGAACAGGCTCCCTCCTGCCTCAGCCCTTCGCGGGGCTGCGCGTCCGCTGTAAACGTCGTCGTGTTGAGCTGTAGTTCTCGGTACCTTCCGGATGGTGTGTGATTCAAATCATATTTTTGCCCATTTTGTGGGCTGTCTTCACTCTTCTGATAAT